TGCGTGCGCGCGAGGGAGAGCGTGGGCGAGGTCGTATATGAAGAGGAAGCACGACGGACACTCACGCACCCCTTCCCACCTCCCTCGTCACAGCTCGAAGCCCTCCCCGCCGTACACTCGGTCGACCCGCCCCACATCTGGCAGCTCTCGTCCTCGCCCTCTCCCTCCTCCTCCCCCATCCATCCTCCTCCTCCTCCCCCTCCTCCTCCTCCCTCTCCCCGACCCTCCTCGCCACCCTCACCCTGCACGCCCACCCGCACGCCACCGACGCCGAGCGCCTCGCCGTGACGGACCACGCACAGGAGCGCGTCAGGCGCGCCAACGAGCGGCTGCTCAGGGACCGGCGTGGCGAGGGCGGCGGGGGCGGCGGTGGGGGCGGGATCGAAGTGGTGTTGCAGGTCAAGAGGGGGTGAGGGAGCGAGGGAGCGAGGGGGAGGGTGAAATGAGACGATGGCGCCCGGACCTTGTTGGGGGTGGGAGATGGGGGAGAGCGAGAGAGGCGAGCTTGGGGGGAGGAGAGCGAGAGAGCGCGAGCGAGACGGTCCGTGCGAGAGGACGAGGGCGAGAGCTTGGGTGCTGCAAGCGCCCTGTCGAACGCGCCGAGAGCGTCGGTAACGCGCTATCGCGCAATCACGCAAGCCGAGCCATGCCGCGAGAGGGGCGAGAAGAAGGTAAGCGGTCCGTTCTGCTCGAGCACTCAAGAGGCGACGTCTCGTCACAGCCACTTGGCGTCCGTGCACGATTCCGATGCCAAATGTCGCTGTCCCGAGACGGAACGGCCAAGCCGCATGCTGGGCGCTGCGAGCCGCTTGTGAGAAAGCACGCCGCTCGGATCGCGTCGACCTTCCCAAGTCGAAAGCTCGACGGCGCTTTCCCCGCTCGCGCTCGGTCTCCCCGGGCAAGCTGTGCGGCTGCACCGGCTCGGCAGCACGGCAGAACAGCGTCGACAGGTCACAGGCGACAAAAGAGTACAGCGCTGAACTGCCTCGAGAACAGCACAGGCGAGAGCAGCAAAAGATTGATGATGTCTGTGAGATTCGAACTCACGCCCTTTCGGACTAGCGGATCAACGTGTGACCTTAAGCTAGCGCCTTAGACCGCTCGGCCAAAACACCTGGTTGTTGAGGTGGCAACAGACAATAGTAAATAACGAGCAAAAACCGCTGTTGCCGTGGTCAAGGGAGCGTTCGGGCGCACTCGACGTCCTCATCTCGGCCTGTCGCGCGTCGCACATGCAGCGCGGGACGCTCTCGAGAACGGTCCAAGGCACGCAGAAGCTTCGAGCTAGAAGGACAAGGGAAGCGCGCGAGCGGCGCGCGGCGGTTTGGACGGCGATTTTCCGGTGCGCAGCTTCGGCTGTCTTGCCGTGCTGCGCGCCCCCTCTGTCGTCCATTGGTGAAGCGCTCTGTGGAAGCCGTGCGGGCCACCCTGCGGGCGGACAGACGCAAACGGCCGCGGAAGCGAAAGCTGAGCGACGCGTTTTGACATTGCCGTGCACGGACCCCGCACGGGCCCCGCTTGAGGGCAGGCGCGAAGCGGCACCGTTTCCGACGGCACAGATGCTCCCGCTCCTCCCCTCGACACGCCAGCCCGTCCCCGAAGACCGCCTGCAGCTCGCCTGCGAGCGGTCGCGTCGATCCCTTTGACGCTGGTCCGGACCCGGTCGCCGAGGCCCGCAGTGCCGCGTTCCCCACTCTAGCGCGCGCGCTGCTCAAAGTTGGGCCGCGCATGCTGCGGTGCGCTCGCGGTGCAGGTGACCCCCGCGCGGCCGCGCGCGAGCTTGCCGCTGCGCCCCACCGGAAGCTGCCCCACCTCGAGCGAGCGTCCCCGCACCTCGACGGCGCTCTCTCTTTCCTCGCTGTCCTGCTCCTCTGCTCTGCTCCTCGCGCGCATCACACGCACACCTACACCTACATCTACCCACGCCATGTCTTCTCAGGAGGTCCCCAAGACCGGCCGCGCCGCCATCGTCGTCGTACGTCGCCGTCCCGCTCCTCCTCGGCTCCCTCCTCGACGTCCCCTCGCTCACGACCGCTTTCGCGCACCTGCAGGACCGTGGCGACAACTTCAAGATCGAGCTTCACGAAGATGTGAGCTCGCCACTGTCCTTTGCGCGCCGTCCGGACCCCGCTGACCTCGACTTCTTTCCGCAGCACCCTGTCCCCAAGCCCGGCAAGGGCGAGCTCCTCCTTCGTCTCAGCGCCACTGGTCTCTGCCAGAGTACGTCAACCTTCCTCTCGACGCGTCGCAAAGCCATCGCTGTTGGCTCGGCGAGCGCGGACCCCGCCCGGACTGGCAAGCTCTTCAGCCCTGTCGCGCCGTGTACTGATCTTCTTTCTTCTTTCCCGACCGCAGGTGACGTCCACTTGTGCGTACTCTCTCTCTCTCTATGTGCTTCAGCGCGTGCATTGCGTTCTGCGGGCGGCGTCGCAGGCGTCGCTCGAGGGAACGGCGCCGGCAGCGTCTGTTGGCCAGGGAATGGTGGCTGACGATTCTTTTGGTGATTTATAGTATGAAGAACGATTGGCATTGGCCAATCTCGGATGGATGCAATATTGTTGGGCATGAGGGTGAGTTGGTGTAGAGCGGGACCTTCTCAAGTCGCTCGACCCGGCCGCCAGGTCGCTCTCGAGCCTCTCGAGCCCGACTGACCCTCCCTACTTTCTCGTTCAGGTGCCGGCAAAGTCGTCGCACTCGGCGAGGGTGTCGACCCCGAGGTGTGGAAGATTGGCGACCGCGCCGGCGTCAAGCCGCTCGACTCGGTCTGCGGCGAGTGCCGCTCCTGCCGCCGCGGCCACGAGACGCACTGCGCCAAGCTCGTCGCCGTCGGCGCTCACGTCAACGGCTCGTACGCCGAGTACGCCGTCGTGACGGCCAAGTACACGAACCGCATCCCCGAGGGCCTTTCCGACGAGATGGCGGCCCCCATCCTCTGCTCGGGCGGAACGTGCGTCCTCCTCTTTCTCTCTCCGTCTCCCTCAGCCCTGTCAGGGCCTGACAGTATCGCGAGACTGACCGTCGTGCACGTTCCGCAGGGTCTACGCCGCGATCAAGCGCTCGAACGCACGCGCCGGCCAGTGGCTCGTCATCCCTGGCGCCGGCGGTGGAGTCGGCTCGATGGCTGTGCAGTACGCCCGCTATGCCGGAATCCGCGTCCTCGCCATCGACGCCGGCGACAAGGAGGAGCTGTGCAAGTCTCTCGGTGCTGAGCAGTTCATCGACTTTACCTCGTGCTCCGAGTGCGTCCAGCTCTCTCTCTCTCTCTCTCTCTCTCTCTCTCTCTCGCTCTGTCGAGGCGGCGAACTGACCGTCAGCGTCCAACAGCATCCACGCCGAGGTCAAGAAGATCACCAACGGCGGCGCCGACGCCGTCATCGTCACCGGGTCCGTGCACTTCTCCCTCGTGTCGCTTCTCGGCAGCGCTCTCGACGAATTGAGCCGGTCCCTGACGTCCTTTCCAACGCCCAACGCAGTGGCTCCAAGTCGGCCTACGAGAACACGCACCGCATGCTCGCTCCGGGCGGCACCATGGTCTGCATCGGCATGCCCGGCGCCGGCGTCGCGAGCGCCGGCGGCGACCCGCTCGAGCTCATCATGGGCGGCGTCGCCATCGTCGGCTCGCTCGTCGCGGGCCTGCAGGACGTCGACGAGGCGCTCGAGATTGCGGCGCTCGGCGGCGTCAAGCTGTCCAAGTGCGTCGCCTTGAGAAGGCCGCCCTCTCCTCCTTCTCTCGCACCGTGACACAGACTGACCCCTCTCGCACTCGCACAGCCTGCACGTGCACCCGTTCGAGGAGCTCCCGGAGCTCATCAAGAAGCTCGACGCCGGCAAGATGGTCGGTCGCGCCGTCGTCAAGTTCGACAAGTAGCCCCGACTCCCAGCGACGTTTTTGCGAGCAGTCTGACGATCAGTGGAAATTACGAATAGCAGTGCCCCTCTCTCTCTCGTGCTCTCGTCGTCGGAGAGGCCTCGAGAGCAGCGACGCCGCGACGACCGACTCTGTTTCGCTCCTCGCTCGAGCTGCCCGCCGCTCCCGCTTCAACCGGCTGTCCCTCCCTGCTCGCACAAGCTCTCACGTCAGCGCGGCAACGTGAGCATCGCGTATCGCCAGCCTGCGCGAGCGAGAGTGAGAGTCGCGCCCGAGACGAGGTCCGAGCGGCGGGCGGGCGGACGTAGTTCGGCTTGCCCTCGGCGCACGGACCCCCCTCGAGCGAGGGGGCACCCTGCACGGTGCGCGCTCGCTCCAGCAGCTCGAGACTCTCGGCGACTCTTGAGCGAGAGCAGCGTCAAGCCCACAATGCGTTCGAGCTGGTGCGAGGCGGCGACGAGCGCCGAGCCTCCCTGTCGAGCGACGCCTCCTGTCTCTCTCTCAAGCTCGCTGTCCCGCTCGCGCTCGCTCGACAGCCAGGTTCGTCCAGGAGCACTGCATTGCGTGAAGCGCTGGCGCGCAGTACTGGCAAGGGCGGGGAGGCACAGCCTCGACGAGACGAGACGAGGGAGGACAGGAAGGACGGATCGAGGGACGGGACGACGACGACGGCGGGAGGGCGCACAGACCGAGAGGAACGACAGCGGAAGAAAGTGAGGGAAGGTAGGGAAGGAGGGTGACGAGGAACGACAAGGAGAGGTGGGTGACGCTCAGGCGTAGCGCGAGAGGTAGTCGCCGAGCTGCACGAGGGAGCGAGGGACGAGGGTCAGTCTCGTGACCGTCTAGCCGCCTAGCCAGTCGCCGAGAGGGAAAGAGAGAGAGAGAGAGAGCGAGGGGACGCACCCGCATAGCGCCGTTGCGCAGCGCGCTCTGCACGTCGCTCAAGTCGTCGATGCCGGCCGCGTCCATGACCTGGCGCACGGCGTCGCGCGCCGAGGCCTCGAGGTTGCCGAGCCCGTTGGCCGACATGATCGACTCTTCCATCTCGGTCTCGTCGTCGTCGCGGCCAAAGTAGGCGCTGCGGGCGAGAGGTCGGGCGCGAGGGTCAGTCGTGGGTCCTTTCCTCTTCGCCCTCGCGGTGAGAGAAAGAGAGAGGGAGGGAACGCACTTGGACGAGATGGCGGTTGCGCCCTGGAAGCCCTGGAGGCGGTTCTGCGCCTCGCGACTCGCGTTGGCGTCGTACGAGCCCGTCTGGTGGTACATGTCGCTCGAGATGCCCTTTTGCTGGCCGAACGTCCGGCGCGCGTAGTCCGACTCCTCTGTGTGGCAGACACAGGTCAGTGGGGCGCTCCTGCTTCTCGAGAGCGAGAGAGAAGAGCGAGAGGACGGACCCGGCTCGCGGTACCCAGATGCGGCCCGTTCTGCCGCCTTCTGCCGCTGCTTGGCCTCTGCCGCCGCCGCCTCGCCGCCCATGCCGGCAACCTGGCCAAAGCCGAGCTTGCGCACGCCCATGCCGAGGCGGTCCACCTCGCCGCTGTCCTTCTTGGCCTGGAGCGCCTTTTGCTGCTGCTCGAGCTTGCCGCCCGCCCCGCCGCCGCCATTCGCGCCCCCTCGCGCGGTCGCAGCCGCAGCCGAGGCCGACGCGACGCGCTTGGCCTCCTCCTCCTCCTGCAGGCGGTCGTACCCGAGGCGCTTTACGCGCTCCTCCTCCTCGCGCGCCTTGCGCTCGGCCTCCTCAAAGTTGATCGCGCCGCCCTTTTTGACGCCGAGCCGGCCCGCACCGAGCTTGCCCGCGCCGAGCTTGCCCGCGCGCACAGGGGCGCCGGTCCCGCCGCCGCCGCCGCTCGAGCCGGCGCCGAGGGTGGACGACAACGACGAGGAGGAAGGCGCGCCGCCGCCGCCGATGGGCGACGCCGAGGACGACGAGGTGCGCGTCGCGCCGAGCGTCTTTGGCCGTGCGCCTGCGCCGCCACTCAGGGACGAGCTCGTGACGGTGCGCGGTGCGGCGGGCGGCTTGGGCGCCGGTGTCGCCGCCGAGGGGGACGCGATGGGCGGGGTGCCCGGGGTGCCCGGGCGCGAGCCGCCAAAGCCGATACCGATGACGGGCGGGGTGCGCGTCGCCGAGGCGGGCTTGGACGACGAGGTTGCGGCGGGCGCGGGGGGCGCGGGCGCATCCCACGTGTCGAAGAAGTCGCCTGCGGGCGCACCCCCACCGGCGGCACCAGCTGCGGACGCGGGCGCGTGCGGGTCGTGCATGCCGTCGACGACGACGCGGTCGGGCCCAAAGATGCGCTCGTCGTCCTTGATGCGGCGCTGGAGCTCCTCCTTGTACAGCTGGGCGGCGCGCGACATGTACTTGTCCTTTGTGTCGCCCGAGGCCGACCCGGGGTGGCGGGCGAGAAAGTCGAGGAACGAGGCGTTGCCGCCGCACTTCATGGCCCGCAGCTGGGTCCAGTACCAGATGTCGAGGTTGGTCGAGCGGACGAAAGTGAGGTGGACGCCCATGTTGCGGTGGACCGAAGAGCAGTCGAGGCAGATGTAGACGCCGAACGTGACCGAGGACCAGGTCGGGTTGCGCGCCTTGCAGTCGACGCAGGCCTGCATGGGTGCGGGTGCGGGTCAGTTGGGCTCGCGGCTGCTGCGTGGTGGGAGGAGGGGGGACGCGCCTTGTTGGCCTTGTCGTGACGGAGGGCGGCAAAGATGGCATCGCGCTGTGCGCTTGAAGCAGCAGAAGCCATGGCGACTCTACTGGAGCTGCGTAGACCTGCGGGTGAGAGAGAGAGGAGGGAGGAGGAGGAAGGGGGGGCGAGGCCCTCCACGACGACGACGACGACGCGACCGACGCCTCTCTCTCGCTCTCCCTGAGCCTTGTCTGCTGCTGTGCTGCACTCCACCAGGAACTCATCCAGTCCAGCCCACGAATCACCGCACGCGTCAGTCCCCTCCCTCTCCCTCCCTCCACCACCGTGACGGACCTCCCCTGGCCTCGCACTCGCACCCCTCGCACCCGCGCACTGCAGCCCGGTCGTCTAGGTCCCCCGAGCTGTACACTCACTGACCCCCTCCCACCCGCACACAGCCAGCCCTCGCCCTCGCACACACCAAACCCCCCACCTCGACCCTCCCTCGCTCCTCCTCTCGCACCTACCCACCGACCCACCATGGACTGGCTCGCAGACCGTGTCGACACGCTCGCCAAGCAGGCAGCCGTGCGTCCCCTCTCCCCTGCTCTCCCCTCCTCTCTCTCCCCCTCACTGACACCCCGCGCAGGAGCTCTCGGTTTACGACGTCAAGGCGGCCGTGCGCAAGGCGCAGGCCTACGCCTTCAACTACACCGAGGCCGAGTCGCGCGTGCGCGAGGCGACCAACGACGAGCCGTGGGGCGCCAGCTCGAGCCTCATGCAGCACATTGCCCAGGACACGTTCAACTTGTGCGTCGTCCCTCCCTCTCTCTCTTCCCGGGACGAGCGAGCGAGGGACTCATGCAGTACACTCGCGCACAGCCAAACGTTCAACGAGATCATGCCGACGCTGTACTCGCGCTTCACCGAGAAGGAGGCGCGCGAGTGGCGCCAGATCTACAAGGCCCTCCAGCTCCTCGAGTGCGTCCCCCTCTCCCTCTCTCTCTCTCTTCCTCCCTCTCTCCCGCAGCCCACACCTGACACCCGCTCCCTCCCTCCCGCTCGCCCCGCTCGCGCACGCAGGTACCTCGTCAAGAACGGCTCGGAACGCGTCGTCGACGACGCAAGGTCGCACCTGAGCCTCGTGCGCGTCCTGCGCAACTTTCACTACGTCGACGAGAACGGCAAGGACCAGGGCATCAACAGTGCGTTCCTCGTCGTCGTGACTCTCCATCTCTGTCCGTGCCGAACGGTCCCGCCGAGTTGGCGGGCCCGCGCCGGCTAGGGGACTAGGGGAGGTCGCGAGACTGACGCACCTCGCACCTTGCACCTCGTCCCCGCTTCCCCCCTCGCGCGCAGTCCGCAACCGCGCCAAAGAGCTCGGCGACCTCCTGTCGGACCTCGACCGCGTGCGCCAGGAGCGCCGCAAGGCCAAGGCCAACCGCAACAAGTACCAGGGCGTCGGGAGCGACAGCTCGGGCTTCTCGGGCGGCGGCGGCGGCGGCGGGTTCTCGGGAGGTGGGGGCCCGAGCTTCACGAGCGCGAGCGGGAGCAGGTACGGCGGGTTCGGGAGCGACTCGCTCGGGCACGGCGGTAGCGGCGGCGGCGGCGACGCGTACTCGGGCGGGCGCGACAGCGGCGGCGGAGGAGGAGGGGGCTTCTCCGACTCGCGCGGGCGCGGCGACGACTTCGAGGCGTACGACGCGGGCGACGACGAGGACCTCGACGTGCGGCGCTCCTCGGCTCCTCCTCCTGCGCCTGCCCCGCACTCGTCCTCGGCGCGCTCGGGCGCCTCGTCGTTGCGAGGCGCCTCGAGCCTCACCAACAAGCCGACGCCGCCTGCGCCCGCCCCGGCGGCGCCGGCCAAGAAGCAGCCCGAGGTGAACTTGTTTGACTTTGACGACGACGACCACGAGCAGGCGCTCCCGCCGCCGCCGCCCAAGCCCAACGCGCCCACCACCGCCGCCGCCGCCGCAGACGACTTTGACGACTTTGACGACTTCCAGAGCGCCGTCCCCTCGCCGGTCGCCGCGCCCGTCGTCGCCCCGCTCCAGGCCCAGGCCCAGGTGCCTCCTCGCCCCGCCGCCAACAACGTCTTTGCGATGCTCCAGCCCTCGTCGACGACCTCGGCCGCCGCCGCGCCGCCCGGGTACGGCGCCCCGATGCAGCCCATGCACTCGGGCGCGGCGCCGATGCAGCCCCGTGCGCCCGCCGCCCAGCAGGCGTCGCAGGCGCAGCCTCACCCAAGAAGAAGGCGGCCGACGACTTTAGCGACCTGTTTGACCTCGTCGGCTCGTCGTCGGCGTCGTCCGGTGCGGCGGGCAAGCCGAGCGGCGCAGGTGCGAGCGGCGCCGTCGCAGGCGGGCAGCAGAGCCTGGCCCAGATCGCGGCGCAAAAGCGGCAGGACTCGCTGTTTGGCAGCGGCGGGGCGGGCGCGAAGCAGGGTGGAGGAGCGGGCATGGGCGGCGGCGGCGATGGGTGGGACAGCTTGCTGTGAGCGCGAGAGTGGGGCACGAGGGCTTGCGCGCACGGTGCTCTCTTCTCCTCTCCTTCCCTCCCTCCCTCTCCCCCTCTCCTCGTGGTGCTCTGTGTTCCTCTTCCTTCTCTCGCACTCTCTTTATCTCTCTTGCCGTAGCTCGCCATCCGAAACTCGTTCGACACGTCTCTCTCTTGCCGTCGCCCGCCCTCGCCGTCTACGCCAAGAGAGAGGGAGAGAGAGAGCGCGCGCACGAGCACCGTCTAGGGCACGCGAACGAGCGCCTCGTCCTCGAGCCAGGCCATCCACTTTTTGAGGAAGGCGCTCCCCTGCGCGACCGTGTCCGAGTCGCCGACGACGACGAGCTGCCGGCGCGGCCTCGTCATCGACACGTTGAGCCGGCGCAGCTCGCGCAGGAACCCGACCTCGGCGTGCTCGTTCGAGCGCACGAGCGACACGATGACGACGTCTGCGAGGCGAGGAACGCGCGAGAGGGACCGCTCGTCAGTGACTGCACGAGATCGAGGGAGGAGAGCGCGGGTACGAGAGAGGGAGGGCTCACCGTTCTCGCGGCCCTGGTTCGAGTCGACCGAGCCGATCTCGACGTCCGGGTACTGCGGGTGGACGAGCGACGCGAGGAGGACGACCTGGGCGTTGTACGGCGAGATGATGCTGATCGAGGTCGGCGGCACGTTGGCGTTGACCTGCGCGAGGGGTGCGCGAGCGAGAGAGTGAGCGCCAGGCGTGGGCGAAAGTGGGAAGGGTACGGGGAGAAGAGGGACGCACGAGAGTCTCGACGTACTGACGGACAATCCTGCGGTCGCAAAGAGTGGCGGTGAGCACGGGCGAGGGTTGCGAGGGAGACTGAGGGAACGTGGCAACGCACTCTGCCTCGTTCTCGTTGCTCTTTGAGTCGGACCCGAACTTGCCGTCCTCGGCGGCGCGCTCGTACATGGCCTGCCCGGCAGCTTACGAGGAAGGATGAAGTCAGGTCGAAGGGACGAGAAAGTGAAGGCGGGCAAGGCTCGAGGGACGCACTGTCGATGAAGATGACGGGCTCGTCGACGTCCTCGTCCGCCTCGACGCCCTCAAGGTCGCTCAGCTTGCGGTCCTCGACGCTCGGGTCCGGCACGAGCTCGCCGTCGTACAGCTCGCGGCTCGGGAAAGCGCAGATCTTGCGGTTGAACCGGTACTGCACCTTGAGCATGCGGCGGACGGTCGGCCCGTGCATGGCGAGGAGGCGCGAGAACAGGGTGACCTCGAGGTCGGACGAGAGCGAGAGCTTTCCGTCGGGCGATGCGGGTGGCGGCGGCGACGAGGCGGGTTTGGCGTTCTTGGTCGAGAGGCTCTTGGTGAGCCGGTCGGACGACTTGAGCGTCGGCGGGAGCTGCAGATGGTCGCCAGCCTGTGTAGAAGGGCGTCGCACGCGACGTCAGATGCTCGGCCGCGAGAGAGGGCAGAGGGCGGCAGGGCGCAGAAAGAGAGGGCAAAGGGAGAGAGCGTGGACGCACGAGGATGAGCTTCTTGCCCTTGAGGCACGGGATCCAGCATGCGGGCTCGGTGGCTTGTGCGGCTGCAGGTCGTGAAAGGCGGTGAGCTGGCGTTCTCTGCGCAGAACGAGCGAGAGAGAGAGAGACAAAGAGTACAGAGACGCACCCTCGTCGATGATGACAACGTCAAAGTCGAACTGGTCGAGCATGCGCCCGCCAGCTCTGCACAGAGGCGAACAACGAGGTCAGGAAATGCGGGTTCAAGGTACGAGGGAGACGAGGGGGGACGCACCCGTGCGTGGTCGCGAGGACAACCTTGGCCTTCGAGACGACCTCGCTCACGACGCCGCCCTGCCGCCGCTTGAACTCCTTGCGCAGGTCGCGCACCTCGAGCCACATCTTCTTGCGCTCGCTGCCGCGGATGCGGTTCTTGCCGCCGGTCCCGCCCCGCAGCTGGCCCTCGAGCGCCGCGAGGTCGCTCTTGATGTCGTTGAGGAGCTCGCTCGTGTCGCTCTGGGCGCTCTGCGCGTCGAGCGTGTGCCGCGTCAGGCCCGACAGGACACGTGCCGGGTGCCCGACTCGCGTGAGCGGGATCGGCTCGTGGAAGTTGGGGTGCGGGACCGACAGGCGCGCGAGGATGTTGTCGACGGCGAGGTTGCTCGCGCCGCACACGAGGACGCGCTTGCCCGACAGGACGAGCTGGCGGATGATCTCGACCAGCGTGTGCGTCTTGCCCGTGCCGGGCGGGCCCCACAGGAGCGCGACCTCCTCGCTCGACAGGGCAAAGTCGACCGCCTCGCGCTGCGACTCGTTGAGGTTGTCGTCGATGAACGAGAGCGCCGGGTCGGCGGGTCTACGTTGCGCCACCGACGGCTTCTTCTGGCCGAGCAGGACAGCGAGGAGAGGCGAGAGAGGCGCGTCGAGCTGGCGCAGAGCGCGGTTGAGGAAGAAGAGCTGGCGGATGAACGTCGTCGGGTTGGCGACCTTGACGCTGCGGGTGGGCAGCCGAGTCAGCTCCTGCACGTAGAGAGGCTATCTGGGACTCGAGGGACGTACATCTGGATGCGGTCGGGCAGGATAAAGTCGTCGGGCGGCTCGTCGACGGCGAGCGTGATCTTGGTCGCCGTGGTGCGGTACACGACGGCGTCGACGCCTCCATCGTCCTTGCCCTTGCCCTTGTCCTCCTTGCCGCCCTTCTTGCCCGCCCCGCCTGCTGCTCCGCCCCCCGAGCCGTGCTGCCGCAGTCGGGCGACGTCGCCCGGGCGAAAGTCGTGCGGCGGGTAGGTGGGCGAGGTGTGGTACGCCGAGGGCCGCTCGAGCTCGACGAGGAGGCGACCGCCGAGGCCAATCGACGTCTGGCCCGACAGGTTGCCGAGTGCGAGGCCGTTGCGCTCGAGGAGCGAGATCGGGGCGTTGCTGAAGAGGAGGGCCGACTCGCTCTCTTCGGCAGCGCGCTCCTGCTCGACCAGGTCGATGAGCCGCTTGAGGAACGCTTCTGCTGGTGCTGGTGCTGTCGCCATCGTGCGCGGTGATGAGCGCGAGGCGAGTGTGAGGTGGGAGCGAGCGAGAGGCGGTGCAGCTGGCTCGAGACTGGCAGCGTCGACGACCAAGGCAACGGCGTGACGGCGCTTTCTGCTTCTCTCGCATGAGATAGCTGCAGCTCATAGTCATGACAAGGGCAGATCTACAAAAAGGAGAGCGTGCGACGGTCTGAGAGGCCGGCGGGGAGGTCCCGGCGCTCGCTCGCACGCGCGACGACACCGCCCTCACGTCGCGCCCTTGCTCTTGCGCACGACCTCGGCCCACCACTCGTCCATCGACGCTCGCCTGACATGGTCGCCGTCGAGCCGAGGCGAGAGCGGCGCCCCGCCCGTGCTGCCGCCGCCCACCACCGGCGAGCGCACGAGCGGCGCACCTCGCGCCTCCTGCTGCGCCGTGCGCACTCGGGCGAGCGCGCGCATGAGGCTCGGCGTTGCTGGAACGGCGTGCGGCGGTGGGGCGTGCGGCGGCGAGGCGGGTCGAGGGTCGAGAGCCGAAAGTCCCACGCTCGCGCCGGCGTAGGCGGCGGGCGTCGTCTTGCCGCGGCCGACGAGACGCGCAGCGAAGCGCGAGGCGACGTTGCCCTGGGCGCGCGAGCGAGGCGGTGTCGGGTCGGCCGTGAGCCGCTGCCCGGCGAGGCGCTCCTCGTCCCACTCGTCGAGGAGCGGGACGCCGTCGTGGTCGGCGACCGAGCGGTACGTCGACGCCGCAGTCGAGCGCAAAGTCGCCGCAGCCGTCGTCCCGCTGAGGCCGCTCGTGCTGCTGCGAGCAAGCGCGCGAGGCCGAGCCGGTGTGCGGCTCGAGTACGGCGGCCCGGCGTCCTGCTCCCGCACTGCTCCTCCTCGTCGCGCCGCGACACCGAGTCCTCCTTCCTCGTCCTCCGAGTCCGCCGCAGACGCCGACACCGGGCCATACTGCGCCGGCTTTGCGCTCGTCCCGCCGCCGCCGAGCGAGCCGAGCCCGGCGAGCGTGTCGGCGTCGCTGTCCCACGCGTCCGACTCGTGCTGGGCATGTCGCGACCGAGTCGGCGTGCGCGTGCTCGGCCGACGGGCGGCCTTCTTGCTGGCGACGGTGCGGTCGTCCTCGTCGAGGTCCTCGCCGTCGGACGGCAAGTCCTCCCACGGCGCGACGCGTCGAGCTTGGCGATCCGTGAGAGTCGAGGCTTGAGAGAAGCGCTGACGAAAGCGCGAGAAGAGGGACAGGGGAGCGAGGTGCGTGCCGCGTGGCGAGGACGGGTTGTCGGAGCTGAACTGGGCGAGGTAGGCGTTCCAAGTCTGCGAGCGCTCGATTTCGAGGTGAGCAGGCGGGCGATAGAAGAGAAGAGGGGCGGGAAGAAAGGCGGACGCACATCGTCGCCGTCGATGCCGAGGCCCCACCAGGTCTGCCACGCGCCGCTCACGACGGACACGAGCCACCATCCTGCGACGAGACCCTTGCCGCCGGCGCTCTCCCAGCGCACCACGACGACAGCGGCGTCGCCTGCGGTCGACGACACGCCGTGCGTCGACACGAGAAGGCCGACGGCATCGACGAGCCCGAGGTGAAGCAAAAAGTCGATGCCGAGGACGAGGAGGAAGGCGCCCGACAAGGCAGCGCACAACGACAGGGCATAGCGTTGCGTGCGGCGCAAGAGGACGAGTGGGGCGGTGAGGGCGAGGGCGACGAGAAAGAGGGCGAGTCGGGGGACGACCGAGGCGAGGCGGAACGAGGTGACGAGGAGGAGCGCGAAGGAGAGGCTGTCCATGAGACACTGGTCAGGACCCGCCTGAGGCCACAGACGAGAAGGAGGAGGATGGGCGCACCTGCCGAAGAAGCCACAGGCTACCTGGCCGACTCGCGCCCACCGCCCGCCTGCGACTGCTCCGACGAGAGCCGGCCCGACGAGCACTGCGAGCGTGCCCCACCGTTCGAGCGGCGTGCTCTTGGCGCGCGAGATGGCGAGAAGCGCCAACAAGGTCGACAGGGCTCCTGCGTCATCGGCGGAAGAGTGTCAGCTCGGCCTGCAGGTTTAGGAGGGAGAGGGAGAACAGGAGAAGGCTGAGCGCACCTGCAGCGCCCGACCCAAACAGCACACCGCCGACGCCGCCGCCAAGCCACCCTTTCTCCGCGTCCGTCCCGCGCGTCTTGCCCCAGTCTCGTCCGACGAACAGGGCGCGCGCTCCGGCGCCGAGGAGGACGAGTGCCGAGAGGATGAGCCAGACGCCGACGACGACGAGGACGCCCTTGGGCAGGGCCGACAGGCGCGAGGTGACGAAACCGGCGTCCTTCGAGCCGGCTGCGCGGGCGAGTAGCAGGAAAGGGAGGCGACGGAAGTCGGACGAGGGAGGCGAGTGCTCGAAGAGGGGTAGGAAGGGCGGCATCGCGCTCGGGCGAAGTCGGCTGACAGGCTCGGGCTGTCGAGAGGCTTGTAGCAGGGGGTCGAGGGCGGTCGTTGACCCTCGTCAGGTGCCGAGGCGGTGGTGCGAGGGCGGCGAGGGGGAGCGGGGTCTGGCGATGAGCGCGAAGGTCGCGCAGGCGGCGAGGCGGCCGGCGCGCAAGCTGAGCAGGTTGTGCTGTAGCCAAAGGAAAGGCTCGCAATGCCGCAGAAGGTGCAGTGGCAGAGCCAGGGCGGCCAGAGACAACGCCCGGACGAGCGGATGATGGAGGTGCCATCGCGGCGCGAGCGAGGGGCGCGTGCAGACCTTCGAGCTGCAGCTGCATTGCCGCAAGCCGAGTGCTGCTCGCCGCTGACCACTGAGGGCGTGCGCTGCGGGCTTGTGTCGTAGGGGCATTGGCAGAGGTCGTCGACGTCGGGCGTCGATTCGCTCGAGCAAAGCGTCTCAATGTTTCTGACGTCGCTCGTCAATGCAGCAGCTGTCGCCCTGGTCTGTGAGCTGGCGGGCTCTGCAACGTTGAAGAGTTGGCGGCAAGCACGCCGTGGGCATCGTCTGCCGGAAAGCGTCGTCTTGTCGGTCTAGATGTGTGCGGGCTCTGGACGTACATTTTGGCCAGCAGACGCAACGAATGGGGATGTAACTCAGTGGCAGAGTGCCTGCTTCGCACTACTTGGCGCGCTTGCATGAAGTCCAGGGTTCAACTCCCTGCTTCTCCAGCTCTTTTGTTTTTGGCCCCCTGCTGTACGCACAGACCGCCTCCTCTTCGGCGAGCGACGCTCCTCGGTACAGACGTGTCTGTCTCGGCGGAAGCGTCCGGCCGCAATATTCCGCTCGCACCTCGAGCTCGGAGTGGGGAAGCCGCCGGCGCCGCCGGAGTGCGGATCGAGAAAGCGGGGACGGTGCGCCTTTGACCGACGGCTCGAGTTCGCTCTGCACACTCTCGCACGCGACCTGCACCTTGCGCGCCATGCTCGTCCGGCTCGCCTCGCTGGCGACTCTCGCCGCCGCGCTCTACGTCGCGCTCGCGTCGCCTCTCCCCCTCTCGCGGCGCACCGACCCGTCCGAGCCACCTCCTGTCGTCGACCTCGGCTATGCGCGGTACCAGGGCGTCCTCAACGAGACTTACGGCATGTACGAGTGGCGCGGCATCCGGTACGCGACGGCCGAGCGGTTCCAGGCGCCTCGCACGCCGTCCAAGAACTCGAGCGACTCGAGCCCGATCCTCGCCGCCAAGTTCGGCGACGTGTGCTACATCTCGCAGGTCGGCGCCAACACGACGACGCAAGGCGTGCTCACCGAGGCGGCGACTGCGCCGTCCGCGACCCAGTCGGAGGACTGCCTGTTCCTCAACGTCGTCGCGCCAGCGGGCTCGTGCGAGGGCGCCGACCTGCCCGTCGTCGTCTACATTCACGGTGGAGGTGCGTCGACTTTTCCCTTAAGCCTGTGTGTCGTCAAACTGCGAGCTGACCGTCTCTCGGTCGCGCATATTAGGCTTTGCCTTTGGGGACGCGCAAATCCAGTGGGAGCAGTTCCTGCAGCACATCGGCAACAAGGTCGTGCTCGTCTCGATCCAGTACCGCCTCGGACCTTTCGGCTTCCTCGCTGGCAGCGAGGTGGTCGCGAACGGCGTCACGAACGCGGGCTTGCTCGACCAGGTGCGTCCTCGCGCTCGCTCTCGAGGTTCTTCTGGGCCCAGCCGGCGAGCAAACTGACACGCGCTCTCCTCTGCCGCAGCAACACGCTCTACGGTGGGTCCAGGACCAGATCCACAAGTTCGGCGGCAACTCGGACCACGTCACCATCTTTGGCGAGTCGGCGGGCGCAGGTTCTGTTCTCAACCAGGTCCTGGCCAATGTGCGTCCCCTCTGGCTCCTCCCTTCCTGTTTCTTTCACGAGCGTACCGAGTCTGACGACGTCTGATTGGCGCAGGGCGGCAACACGGTCAAGGCGCTCGGCCTAAAGAAGCCCCTGTTCAAGGCGGCGCTCGGCGCTTCGGTCTTCCTCCCTCTTCAAGTCGAGGCGACGTCGTCCTGGGCCGAGTCGAGATACAACGACCTCGTCGCAGCGACCAACTGCACGGGCGACAAGTCGACCTTCCGCTGCCTCGAGTCGGTCGACGCCGGCGCGCTCGCCGCCGCGAGCGGGAAGCTCTCGCAGGACCAGCCGTTCGGCTCCTGGACCTACGTTCCCGTCGTCGACGGCTCGTTCTTGACAAAGCGGGCGTCGGTCCTCCTCAAACAGGGCCAGAAGAACCTCAACGGCGTGCGTCCCGCGTCCTCTTCGACCTTCTCAAACCGTACTGACGGACCGCACGCCCTCAGGACGTCTTCTACGGCAACAGCAACGCCGACGAAGGGTTCATCTTCACCGACCCGACCCTACAGAACGACACAACAACCTCTCCCGCCGCTCTCGACGCACAATTCGACTCGACGCTCGCCGGGCTTTTCCCCCTCATCACGGCCGAGGAGCGTCAGTCGGTTGCCCAGCAGTACCCGGCCTCGAGTGCTTCGTCGTCGAAGGGCAACACGTTCGCGCGCATCTCGAGCATCATCGCCGACTCGACCTTCGTGTACGTTCCTCCTCCTCCTCTCCCTCCTCCTCCTCCTTTCCCTCTTCCTGGCCCGAGCTGACTCGTCTCGCCCTGCAGCTGCCCTACCTACTGGAGCGTCGAGGCGTTCGGCACATCGGCGTACAAAAGCCGCTTCGCGTACGGCCCGGCCACGCACGCGTTCGACCTGCAGTACTATTCTGGCGAACTGTGGACGGGCACCAAGTCGGTCTCGTCGATCCAGTCGTTCGCCGGCGCCATCGGCGGCTTCATCCGGTCGTACAACCCGAACGACAACCCGGCCAACTCGACGATCAACCCGTCGTGGCCGACCTACGACTCGAGCGAGGAGATGCTCTTCAACCTCACTATGCCGCTGAACCTCCTCTCGACGGCCGACCCTCGAGTCATCAAGACGTCGAGCCTGACCGACTTTGGCACGAGCCAGAGGGAGAAGTGCGACTTCTGGCGCGGGTCCATCTCGAAGAACGCCGGACTTTAGACTGCGCACGAGCCTCTCCTCTCCTCCTCTCTTCCGGCCCCCCCCCCCCCCCCCCCCCCCTTTCCTTTCCTGTTTCATTTCCTCTTTCCTTTCGTACATAGCATGTGGCTGCAACTCTGTGCGCAGTGCGCCAGTCTCGACGAGCGACCGCTTCTCTCTCTACATCAGTTTCTCTCGACGCGAGTGCTGCAAGATCTTGTCCATGTCCCTGCTGTTCTTGCCACGAGAGCATCGTCCCGGCCGCCGTTCGGCTCCTACTCGACGTTGCAGAGCACCGCCAGAATGGTGAGACTGGCCGCACGTGCGGCCGAGCGACCCGCCTCATCAGCCCACACTTCTGCTCTCCACCGCCTCGTCCTCACCGCCAGGATGCGTTGGCCCCAGCTGCTCAGCTCTGCTGCTGTCCTGCTACCTGCCCTTGCGGCTGCGCGCCCCGCCGAGCTCGACGCCCGCGACCAGATCCTCCTCACCTCGACGCCGTCATCTGCACTCGACGACGCCCACGACTCGGCGCGCATCCCTCGCGACGAGCCCGAGATCGGCACGGGCCACCTGTCGCAATGGAGCAAGCAGAACAAGGTGCGCCCCTGCCTCCCTGCACTCGCACTTGCGAGGTTCCCCCCTCTCTGCGCGCCGGCCCTTCCCTCGCGCCGCCGCCCTCTCGTGTCGACTACTCGGTCCGCTGACTTGCACCTCCCTTGTGCAGGCCGACTTTCTCCACGCCCTGCGCAACAACTCGGCCTCCGACTGGGTCGTCGTCATGGGCAACGAGGCGTCCGACGCCGACAGCCTCGTTTCGGCTCTGGCGCTCTCGTACATGTACACGCACTTGCCTGAGCCCAGGAAGGCTGTCGCGCTGCTCCAACGCGAGGAAGGTACGCCCTTGTGATATCCCCGGCCGTTTCCTCGTTCCCTAAACTGACACACCCGTCCCCCTCGCAGATGCCCTGGACCTGCGCCCCGAGAACGGCCTCGCGCTGCACTACGCCCGCATGTCGTCGGGCCATCGCGACCTGCTCACCATCGACGACCTCCCGATGAAGCCCGAGGAGGTCAGCCGCCGCATCGAGGGCATCGCGCTCGTCGACCACAACGTCCCGCTGTCGGTCTGGGCAGGCGCCAAGGTCGTCGGTGCGTCCCCTCCTCCCTGCCCCCTCGGCCTGCCGTAGATACGGACTGACCCTGTCGTACCGCCGCAGCCATCTTTGACCACCACGACGACCGCGGCTACGCCAACGACACGGCCAACCCGCGCATCATCGAGCGCTCGGGCTCCTGCTCGTCCCTGGTCACGCGCTACATGCTCGACCAGCTTCCTGACTCGGCATCTTCATCGTTCCACGGCCCTATCCCCAAGGAGCTCATCGAGTTGATCCTGCGCACGAGTGCGTCCTCCTTCCACCCGGGTCCCTCTCGCCCTCCTCCTCGTCCAACACTGTCTGACACCTCGCTCCTCCCAGTCGCCGTCGACACGTCGGGCCTCAAGAAGGACTCGAGCCAGCCGGTCGACCTCGAGGCCGCCGAGCGCATCTTCCCGCGCAGCACGTGGCGCAACCGCGACTTCAAGACGTCGATGAAGCTCCTCGACAAGGACATGAGCGCGTCGCGCAAGGCGCTCGATACGCTCGACGTGAGGAGCCTGGTGCGTCCCACTCGCACGTCGGCGCCTTCCTCGCCGGCCTCGGACCTGACGTTTCCACACCCGCAGCTTCGCCGCGACTGGAAGGGCGACGTGTGCGTCCCTCTCCTAATCTTTCCTCTCGAGCCCTTACGAGCCGACTCTAACATCTTTGCCTCTCCTCCCTCGTCCTGCAGCATCAAGACCAAGTCGAGCAAGCACTCGATGATCAGCCTCGGCTTTGCGTCGGCGCCCGTCTCGCTCGAGGAGCAGATCGAGCGCACGCCCGAGGGCACCGCACCCGAGTGGTTCGCCATCGAGCGCGCCTGGACGTCCGAGATCCAGGCCGACGTCTCGGTCGCGCTCACCAACTTCCGCGGCGACGACGGCGAAAAACATCGCCAGCTCGCCGTCGTCGTCGCGCACGGGTACGGTCACCGGCTGCACGACGGTTCGGCCAACCGCCTGTTCCGCGCCATCGTCAAGGCGATCGAGGACTCGGGCGTCGAGGGCATGAAGAAGTGGAAGCGCCCCGACGGCAAGAAGCTCCTGCCGCGCAGGGCCGTCTGGCAGTACCAGGTGCGCCCCGCTTCTCTCTCCTCTCGCCGAGGATTGGACGAGTCCTGAGCCTCGACTGACCTTTCCCTCATTGCCCCTGCCCCTCTTCGACTCTCGTCGTCGCCATGATCGTCCCTCCCCGTCCTCCTCGTCGCGCCCTTCCTCGCCGTCCCGCGTTTCCCGTCATCCTTCCTCGCGCCACCTTGCGCACGCACAGTCCGACTTTGCAAGCCGCAAGTACTGGAGGCCGATCATCGAGGCGTCCGTCCGCGAGTGGGAGGGCTGAGAGGGAGCGCACGTGTAGAAGGACGGACGGGAGGGCCGCCTCGCATCTCGCCGGACTTTTCTCGCTGACTCACTCTGCGGCTCTCTGAGCGGGGCAGGGCATCGCGAGCGCATCGAGAGAGATAGAGAGAAGCTGTGCTACATTGCTCGACGAGGAAACGCTGGTGGTACGAAAGAGGGGAGCACGAAAGAACAACGAGGACGAGTATACGGGCGAGAGGGCGCGAGGGGAGGAAGGCGGCTCGCCGGCTAGCGGCGCATGGTGTAGGGCAACACCGTGTCGAGGAAGGTGTCGAGGACGGGCTGCACCTGCGTCGCCCACCGGGTCCAGGCAAAGTAGAGCGCGACTGCAGGACGAGCAAGTGTCAGTTTCGTCGCTCGAGTGAGGCCCGACGAGAGCGCGAGGGAGACACAGAGAGAGAGAGACTGAGGACGCACCACAGAGGACGGGCAACCAGAAGGCGAGGAGCATTGCGTCGGAGCGGATGCCGACCTGCAGCGGCGAGTCGACGGCGCCAAACGTGCTGCCGGCGTCGCTCTCGGCGTCGACCTCGGTGTCGTCCGAGACGTGCGAGACGGCCGACGTGCGGCGGCGCATGCGCAGGCGCGTGGTGGCGCCAGATCGAGGAGACGAGGCCGTGTCGATCGCCGACGTGCTCGCCTCGTCGTCGTCGAGTGCCGGCTTGTCGTCGGACGCGCCCGACGCAGCGGCCGAGAGCTCGTCGCGTGGCGAGTACTGCGGCGGCGGCGACGAGGGCGCCTTGGTCGTCCACCATGCCGGGGCCTGGAACGCCGCACGCCAGTCGCGCAGCGAGAGACGCTCGAACGGCGTGCTCGACTCGTCGGCCTCGTCGCCGAGGTCCGGCTCGACGTCGCCGGCGGGCGACCGCGACTCGCTGACGGTCGCGGCGCGGCGACGCTTCGTCTTCGAGGTGCTCGGGCCGCTGCCCATGTGGCGGCTGAGGGCGGCGGGCATGGCGTGGAAGGCCGTGAGCTCGGGCATGTGCATCGTCGGGACGCCGAAGCGGTTGGCCTTGGCCTTCTCCCACGCGCCCGTGACGCTGCCCGCGATGGGCTGCAGCTTGTCGAGGCCCGGCTGGACGGTCGGCTTGAGCTTGGCCGAGAGCCACGACGACGAGGCCGACGCGAGGTGGTTGAGCGGCGTCACAGGAGGGCGCGATTGAGGGGCGACAGGCTCGCCGACAGGGATGGCGTCGACGGCGGCGTCGGGAACTGCAACGAGGCGACGCGAGTCAGTGAGGACGCGAGGAGAGAGGAAGGGGAGTAGGAGCAGGACGGACCTGGCAGAGACGGCCGCCGGAACCTGGGCAAGCGCTTGTGCTCGACGACCTCGACGTGTTCAGCCTCGACGAGGTGGTGCAGCGAGGCGGACGACGCGTTCCTCGACACCTGGCGCGAGCGCACTCGAGGTTTGCGGACGGGCGACGTCTCGTCCAACGCCGACTCGTCGGCGTCTTGCGCCTCGCTGTCGTCCCACACGTCGCGATCGTCGGCGTCGTCGATGTCCGAGTCCGACAGGTCCGAGTCGGCGTCGACGGTCCAGTCGCTCGCGTACTCGGTCGCCGCGTCCTCGCTCTCGTCGCCGGCGTCGCTCAGGCGCAGGAAGCTCCTGGTCGGGCTCGCGAGCTGGAGGACGGTGGCGGCCGTCGGCGTCGCGACGAGCGCGCCCGCCGGGCTGACGGCGCCGCGAGCGAGGAGGAGCTCCTCGACGTCGACGTCGTCGCGGTCCTGCGCCACCTCGAGCGGCGTCTTGCCGGCACGAGTGCGTGCTCGCACGTCGGCGCCGGCGTCGAGGAGCTGGCGCGCGATGTTGACGCGGCCGTACAGGGCGGCAAAGTGGAGCGCCGTGTACCCATTGCGGTCCTCCTTGTCGAGAGTGACGCCGCGAGCGACGAGGAACGCGACAAGGCGGCGAAAGCCGAGGACCGTGGCGAGGTGGAGGAGCGTGTGTTGCTGGGCGTTGGCGAGCGAGATGGGCGGGCGCGACGAGGGGAGAGACGGGGCCGCGCCGGGGAGGAGGGACGGGTCGAGGTCGAGGAGCGAGAGGAACTTCATGACGATCCCCTCGAAGCCCCGAGGCTCGCCGCTGAACGCGTTGGCGGGCGGGACGGGGGCCGACGAGGTGCGCGGCGACGCTGTGCTGCTGAAGCTCGAGCGACGCGACGTGGCCCGCGAGGCGGCAGGCGTCGCGTACACCGAGGACGCGGCGGCGTTGAGCGTGGCGGCGAGCGCCGCCGTGTCGGTCGCGCTACCGCCGCCGAGGCTGTGCTGCGAGCCCGGCGTCGAGCCGCCGCCGATCATGCCGCCGGCTCCTGCGCCAGGCGCGCCGGCGCCGCTCGGGCTGTTGCCGACGATGCGCATCGCGACGGCGGCAGCGTCCTCGAGGCGGCCCGTCATCTTGAGCCCGACGACCTGGAGCGCGAGCTCGAGGAGCGAGCGGTCCGAGTCGTCCTTGTACGTGAAGAGCTGGAGGCCGTTGCCCGGCTCGACCGTGAGCGGGACGCCCTTGATGCTGACGACGACGGGGCCCGGGTTGGCCGACGGCGGAAGGACGGCGACGAGCGTGCTCGACGACCAGTAGTGGGTCGGGACGGCCGCACTGTCACCAAACACGCACGTCAGGTCCTGGACGAAGTTCTCGCCGAGGACGGTCACCTCGATGCCGCCGTGCACCGGGCCCTCGCCCGGGATGAGGTGCGTGATGCGGGGCGGGAGCGACGGCGGCAGGAGTTGCTCGGGCTGCTGCGGGATCGTCCAGCTCGGCGTGAGGCTCGTCGGCATGGGCTCGGTCGCAGGGATGGCGAACGACGGGATGGCCGACCCCGGCGCGGACGGCGTCGGCGCGAGCTCACGCGACGAGCCGACAGGCGACGGGAACCCGCTGAACAGCGAGTGGTACGACTCGGACGGGCCGGTCGAGCCGCCGGGCGACATGGGCGGCGTCGACAGGTTGGCTCGCCAGTCGACGTCGGACGAGACCGAGTGCCGCGCGCCGTCGCCGAGGTACGACACGAGGCCGCTCGGCTGCTGCTGCTGCTGCTGCTGCTGCTGGGCCGGCGTGTCGACCATGAGCGAGTCCTCCATGCCGCCCAGCCCGAGCGCCAACTCGACCTGGTGCGGCAGCGGCGGGAGCGAGACGCCTTCCATCGTCTGCGGCGTCTGCATGCCCGTAGACGGAGCGCGGCTCGACGCCTGCGACTGCGACGGGTGCGGCGGCGCAAAGTTGACCGGCGACGCCTGCCGCAGCGGCGTCATGGCGAACGTCGGCGACCTGCTCGCCTGCGCGCTCGCGGCGGCCGACTTGCGCCCTTGGGCCCTCGCCGGGCGCTGGTCGGCGTCGTACGGCCGCACCTTCTTGGTCGCCTCGGACGCCGCGCCGCCGACCTCGCCGCTCTCGTCGTCGCTGTCGGTCGCGCCTCGCCTCGAGCGAGTCGTCGCGGCGCGTCGAGGGCGCCCGGAGGCGTGCGCCGACGGCGTCGTCGTGCCCGAGGCCGGCGAGCCGGCCTTGTCGCGGCGCTCCTTGCGAGCGGGTGCGGGCGTCGACGCGGCCGACTTGCTCGTCTTGCGCTTAGCCTGCGCGGCGGCGGCGGAGCGCTCGTCGTGCGCGACGACGCCATGTGCGGCGGCGGCGAGCGAGGCGACCGAGGCCGTCTTGGACGCGGCCGTGTTGGTCTTGTGGTCGTCGGTGATCATGATCGGCGGTGTGGAGCCCGTCGCGACGACGACGCCGCGGTGGTCGCGCAACGTGTACGTGACGCTGCGAGCGACGAGTCGAGTCAGTTCTGTGAGGGAGAGAGAGAAAGAAGGACCAGGGGACGCACCGGAACCCGCGCTTCTCCTTGTGGTGACGGCAGTAGCACGTCACCCTCGTCGGGAGCACGATCTCGCCCGACGCGAACTCGACGAGCTCCTGCGCGTTGAACACGACGACCTTCTTGCGCTCCTCGGCCTCGTCGCGCTGCGGCGAGTCGACGTCGGGCACGGGCGCCGGCGCCGTGTACGTCTTGCCCTTGGCGTCCTTCTTGCGGAGCGAGCGCTTGAGCTCGCGCGCCTGGCAGTTGTCGCAGATGTAGATCGACTGGGACGGGTCGGTGGCCGAGACGACGGCGACGTCGACCGACAGGATCTGCTCGGCAGGAGGTTCTGCTCACGCCGGCAAAGGTCAGTACGGGGCTCGCCGGCCTTCCGGGGGAGAGAGAAAGGGGACGTACCAGGCTTGGCCTTCTTGGCGAGTGCCGCGGCGCTCAACTGCTTGCCCGGCTTGCTCTTGAGCGCGAGGTTCTTGGGCAGCCGCAGGTGGCTCCACGTCCCGAGCCGCTCGAGGTCGTCCGCCGCCCGCGCATCGAGCCCACCGTCCACCATGACCATGTCGTCGCTGACCCTCGCGCCGCCGCCCCCAGCGCCGCCGCCGTGCCGGGGCCGCACGAGCGCGAGGCTGATCTTGATCTGGGTCTCGACGCGCGACTTGGCGCCGAGTGTCGGCACGCCGAGCACGACGAGCTCGGCGTTCGTGACCGACTCGGCGGGTGGGCTCGAGTGCGCCGGGATGAGGTGCGCGGCCTGGACGGCGTCGCGCGCGACGAGGTTGACCGACGGCCCGACCGCGTGGTGGAGCGCCGCCTTGGCCGCGTGCGCGCTAGTGCTCGTGCTCGATGAGGCTGGAGGAGCGTGCGGCGCGACAGGAGCGCCGCCGCCGGAGGACGACCAGGCGTCGCTGCGGCGCGAGAGGCTCAGGTCGCGCATGCTCGTCTCGGCCTCGCCGCCAGGGCCGCCGCCGCCGCCGCCGATGCTCGCGCGCGAGCGGCCGACGCTCGACGAGCGCGTCGCCGGGGCCGTCGACGTGGCGCTGACGAGTGCGGGCATCGGGTACTCGGTCGCGGGCGAGTGAAGCGGCGAGGGCGTCTGGGCCGACGTGAGGCTCGGGGCGATGCCGGCGTTGACGGCGAACAGGTCGATCGGGTTGGACAGGGACGCAGCATTGGCCGACATCGAGGCGGCCGTGAGCGGGTGGAAGGCGTGGACGGCGGCGGCGGGAGCGGCCTGCGAGAAGACGTGCGTCGAGAGAGGGGTCGGGACGGTCTCGGTCGGTGAAGTGAGGGTGGAAGGTCTGTCGGGCGAGACGGAGACGAGCAAGTGTCAGTGAAAGGTGCGAGGCGCCCAGGTCGCGCTCGCACAAAGGCGAGCTGCGGCGGGAGGACAAGGGGTGTGTGGTCGGGGAGGAGGACAACGATGGGCGAGGGACGCACCCGCACACGTCCTCGTGCACCATGTCGTCAAAGTCCATGCCGACGCGCTCGTGACCCTGCCGGGCATGCGCAAAGTAGTCGCGGGTGCCGTTGCTCTCGGGGTTGGCGGCCGGGCTGTCGGCGGACGAGGTCGACGAGGCGGCGCCGGCAAACGGCGCTTGGGCGACGGGTGCGGACCAGAAGTCGTTCGAGGCGGTGCCGAGCGCGTCGTGCTGCGGCTGCTGGCCGAGTTGGTGCGAGTGCGGCCGCGGGGCGAACTTGACGGCGGCGGCGGCGGCAGCCGAGTGGTGGCTGAGGACGGCGGCGGCCTGGTGGTGGTGGTGGAACGCGGGACCGGCTGCTGCTACGCCGAGCGCGGCAAAGTCGACGCCCCAGTCGTGCGGGCCGTAGCTCGAGTCGGCGGGGGACGGGTGCGAGTCGGAAGAGGACGAACCGCCGTCGCCCGAGCTGCCGGACGACTCGTCGCCGTAGGGCAGGTGGGCCGAGCCGCTAGGTGCGAGGTCGTAGTCCATCGCGGACGGGCGCCGGCGTGCGCACCGAGGCGAGGGTGAGAGGACGAGCTGGAGCTCGGAGGGCGGAGAGACAAGGGGGAGGAGCAGCGACGACGACGCGGCTCGGTCGAAGGAGGCGGTGGGCGGGTGCGCGCGTGTGCTGGTGGTCGACTGGTGGTGCAGGCGGGTGCAAGTCGAGTACCAGGGGCCCGCTGCTGGGCTGGGCGTGGTCGACCCAGCCGCGAGCCTCTCGTTCCTCCTCCCCGCTCGAAACGACCCCGCACTTTGCTCGAGCTCTCGCTCCCTTGAGCCCTGCGCCGCAGCCACGCATGCCCAGCTACGTAGTGCCCAGCTGCTGCACTGAAGGGGCTGAGCCGCCGGCCGTGCCTCTCCCTTGATATCTCTCTCGACGGACTTCAAGTCGCGCTTTCGTGCACTGGCCCCCTGTCGCTCTGCGCATGCTCGCTCCCAGCGCTGCTACAGTACCAAGCGAGCCCGCAGCCAGCGCAAGCGCCAACTGCCCGCTCAACCTTGCTCCGCTCCGCGACCCGCACTCTCCAACTCCGGGGGATCGTCCCTCCTCGCTCGAGCGGCGCAATCAGAGACGTGGCGCAGTGCTCGTTGGCGGTCGCAGCAGTCACCGCGACGAGAGAGCAACGTTGGTGCAGCCCGAGCCTCCGCCCTTGACCGAGATAAGGACGTCGGCGCAGCCGTCGCGCCCTGCGGCGCTCGTGGCGGCTGGGACGGTGCGAGACAGGCCGCCATAGCTTCGACAGGGCGGTCCGACGATGTCGCGCGCGGCAGCCGGAAGGCAGGCGGTCGCAGCACGAGAGCTGGGCTCGACAGAAAGGAGCGAGCGAGAGAAGTGAAAGAGGGAGACGGTGGCGCAAGAGCTGTGCGGCCGCCTTAGGACCAGCCGTGCCGGCGCGCCCGTGTCCTGGAGCAAGGTCCTTCTCCAACTCCGACATGATGGGAACGGTCAAGCCGAGCGTCTCGTGTTGCAGAGCAGCCTGTTGCGCGGCGAGAGGGCGGTCAGGATCCGCGAGGACACAAAGAGGGAGGGACGAGGTAGTGCGGGCGGGACGTACCGGGTTGTTGTAGCACGTCGCCGCTCACGCCAACGCGGAACAGGACGCGTGCCCACCGCAGCAGGAAAGCCCGGCTCGGTCGCCTGCCTACACGTGCAAGTGCGCGCTCGTCTGGAGACGAAGAGGCGGCGGCCATCCACGCCGGCCCTCGACACGCCCGGTCGCCGCACCCGCGCACTCAAAGCAGAAGCCGAGTCGAGTTGCGCTCGCTACTCGAAGCGGGCGGGAGGGACCCGGTGCGAGAGGCGAGAAAGCCAGCGAGAGCCGGACGCCCCGTGGCTCCTCGACGAGTACAGCTCGGGGCGCTGCCGCGCAGGTCTTGCGTATGCTGGAGAGAGCTGCAGCTCGATTCGACGTGCTCCACTGGGCGCACGAGAGAGTAGGAGGAAGGCCGTCCGGGTCAAGCAGCGACCGGCGAGCGAGAAGGCAGCTCTCACTCTCGCCGCTGCACTCTCGCCTGCTGAGCCCGCGCAGCGCACCAGATCAGAGCCATGGCACCTTCGACGCAGTCCAAGAAGCTCCTGCTCGACGTCGGCCTCTTTGCGGTGCGTCCCTCCCTCTTCCTCCGCCTCATCGCCGCCCGACCCGAACGACACTGACCCTCGTCCGCCACGGCACGCGCAGGTCTCGCAAGTGCTGTTCTACTATGCGTTCAAGGTGCGCCCCGATCCCACCCGTCTCCACAGCTCTCCCGAACGTGAGCTGACCCGACCCCTTGCCTCCCTCCTCCGCGCCGCGTGCGACTCGCGCAGGTCGTCATGAACCAGATGGACCCGGCCAAGGGCAAGCGCAAGGAGTCCAAGGCCAAGTCCAAGGAGACGCTCGGCAAGCTCGGCATCGACCTCGCGTCGCTCGACCTGAGCGAGCACGAGGAGATCATCGCGGGCGAGGTCGTCGCCGCAGAGGACATCCACGTCTCGTTCCAGGGTCCGTCCCGGCCCCTCCCACTCCCTTTGTAGAGACCTGTGTCGAGCCGAGCTGACCGAAGATCCGGTGGCGACGCAGACATCGGCGGCCTCGACCCCATCATCTCGCAGCTGCGCGAGGCCGTCATCTTCCCGCTCGTGTACCCGCAGCTGTTCGACAGCGCCGCCGGGCTCTTTGGCGCGCCAAAGGGCGTCCTCATGTACGGCCCGCCGGGCTGCGGCAAGACGATGCTCGCCAAGGTGCGCCGCCTCGAGGCCGAATCAGCCACGGACGAGATACTGACTGGCCCTTCCCTCGCGGCGCAGGCTCTCGCCAAGGAGTCGGGCGCCACCTTCATCAACATGCACGTCTCTACGTTGACCGACAAATGGTGCGTCCCTCTTCCCCTCGAGCGCCTCGTCACGCACTCTTGGCCGAAGCTGACCTCGTCCCGTGCGCCGGTGCAGGTTCGGCGAGTCGAACAAGCTCGTTGCGGCCCTCTTCTCGCTCGCGCACAAGCTTCAGCCGGCGATCATCTTCATCGACGAGATCGACTCGTTCCTGCGCGAGCGCAGCCGGGCCGACCACGAGGTGACGGGCATGATGTGCGTGCTCTCCTTTCCTCGGCGGCGGTGGCGGCACGACATGGCCTGACCCGGACCTGCCCGCACCCACAGGAAGGCCGAGTTCATGTCGATGTGGGACGGTCTCACGACGAGCAACGACACGCGCATCCTCGTCCTCGGCGCGACCAACCGCCCGAACGACATCGACTCGGCCATCTTGCGCCGCATGCCCAAGCGGTTCGCAATCAAGCTCCCCGACGCGCACCAGCGCCGCAACATCCTCACCCTCATGCTCAAGGACATCCGGCTCGAGCCCGGGTTCGACCTCGAGGCGCTCGTCAAGAAAACGGACGGGTTGAGCGGGAGCGACTTGAAGGAGGCGTGTCGGAACGCGGCCATGGTTCGTCCCTCGACGTCTCTCTTTCCTTCCTCTCTCTCTCTCGCACAGGCGCTTACCCGGCTCGTTGTGCAGGTCCCGGTGCGCGAGTACATGCGCAAGAACCTCGCCAACGGCCAGGTCGACCTCGAGAAGGTCCAGGCCGGGGTACGTCCAGCTTCTCGTCGACGACGCGCTCTCGAGACTCGTGCGAGCGTGACTTGACACACGTCTGTCTCGCGTCCTGCAGAAGTTCGACATTCGCCCGCTCGCGCTGCGGGACTTTTTGCGGAGCGACGACGCCGAAGTCACCGCCGAGCCCCTCGACTGAACCCTCGCCCCCTCGCCGAGCATCCCCTGCACCCCTCGATCCTCAAGCATGCCCGTCTCTCGCTCGTCATCCTGTTGTGCACCGCCTAGAGCCCCCTCTCTCTCCCTCGTCGGGCCACTCTTGTACACTGCCGCGAGCGCAACAATGTAATATCACATGGCGCACTTCTACTCTCTCCTCTTGCCGTCCCTCTCGTCCTGCGCCCCTGCGCCAATCCGCCCCTCGAGCTCTCGCCACGCGTCCATCCACCCGCGCTCGAACGCCTCGACGCCGAACCGTGCCTGGGCGCTCTCCCTCGCGCGCGCCCGGACCGCGTCCTGCTCGGCCTCGGGGAGCGCGAGGATGTGCGCGAGAGAGGTCGCGAAGGCGAGGTGGGGTGGGAGGTGGCGCTCGGTGGACGAGGAGGAGGAGGAAGTGGGGGAGGAGGTGGCGAGGAAGCCGGTTGGGCCGGTGCCGTGCGAGGGAGAGGACGAGGGTACGAGGATATCGAGGAGGGGCCCGGCAGACGGGTGCGCGAGGGTGAGCAGGCCTGCTGCCTGCGAGCGAGGGTGCATCACCGTCAGAGCTTCGCCTTGAGGAGCCACAGCCGGGAGCGCACGCGCCCACGAGAGGCGCACAGAGAGAGAGAGAGAGAGAGAGAGAGAGAGCGAGGGCGCACCTGAAACTCGACGACCGTGATCCCAAAGTGCTCGTCGACCATCGTGTGCAGCCCAATGCTCGCCTGCCGCATGAGCGCGCACACGTCGTCGTACGGCGCGTTGACGACAAACTCGCACTGGCTTGCGACGCCGAGCTCGTCGGCGAGCGTGCGCAGGGCCGCGACGCGCGCGTGGTCGGCGGCGTGGCGGGCCGAGCCGGCGAGGACGAGGCGCAGGCGCGTTGGGTCGAGCGTGATGGGCAGGAGCGAGGGCGCCGACAACGACGAGGGGGAGACGAGCTCGGCGAACGCGCGCAGCTGCGTCGCGTGCTCCTTCTCAGGGCGGAATTGGGCGAGCGACAGGATCGTGATGGGCGAGGTCGGGCTCGGGACCCGCGACGAGGTCGTGGCGGGGAACGAGGTGAGGGCCGCCGTGTCGCACGGCGGGTAGACGGTGCGCACGCGCGGTCGGGGCGTGCGGCGGGGCAGGCTCGTGGACGGTTGCTGCTTCTTGACGACGCTCGAGGCGGTGGGGCGCTGGCGCAGGCCGTCGGGCGACGACACCGCCGCGGCTGCGTCGCTCGGACCCTCGTCGGGCGCCACGACCACCTCACCCTCGCCCTCGCCCTCGCCACCGCCAAGCAGCCGCACGACATGCCGCCTCGTCCACGTCGAGTTGACCATGAGCGTGTCGGCCCGGGCCAAGCTCGCCCGGTACGCGCGCGCAAAGGCCGTGTAGTAGACGAGCTTTGCGCGCGACAGGACGGCGCTCGACGCGATCGACGACGGGTTCGTGTGGCCCGCCGTGCGCGAGCGGACGCGCGAGAGCATGTCGGTGCTGCCGGGGAGAGGAGGGGAGCGTGTGAGCTGGCGCGCTCGCTCGGTGGGGAAGGAGGAGGAAGGGGACGCACCTGATGGTCGGGTAGTGGGTGTAGCTGCCGACGGGCACGCCGAGCAGCCACTTGACGAGCGGGTAGGCGAACGCGTAGCCCATCGTGTCTGCAGAGGAGGGCGACAGGCATCAGTCGTCGAGTTCGAGGCATGAAGAAATAGGAGAAAGAGGGACGCACCGATCCAGACGTCGGGCGCGACGCCTTGCGGGCCCGCGAGGCCCTCGAGGGCGACGATAACGCTCCCGAGCGACTGCCCGAGGAGGGTGAGGCGCGGGTAGGTCGCGTCCTCGACGAGCCAGCGGCGCGTGAGCGGGACGAACGCGAGCGAGTCGGGCGACAGGGCGACGCCGAACCGGGCCTACGAGCGGGAGCCGGTCAGCGTCTCTCGGCCGCGTGGTCGATAGAGGAGGACATGCGCAGGGACGCACCTCGACTTTGGCGAGGATGTCGGCCTTGGTGACGGCGCCGTCGTGGGACCCGACGTCGCCCGTGTAGACGACGAACGCGGTCGGGGTCGGACTCGCGGCGAGGTCGCGCTGCATGCACGCGAGGGCGGTCCACAGGACGCGCTCGCCGCCGCCGCCGGCATTGCTGCGAGGCGAGGGGGGAGTGGGACGAGGTGAGCCGAGGTGGGGGGTCCAGAGGAGGAGGAGCAGGACGAGGGAGGACGCACCAGTACGGGTGAAAGAGGCCGACGAGGCGGGTGGCGGTGGCCTGGTCGGTCGACAGGCCGAGGTGGCACTTGAGGAAGGCGGTGCGCTGGTGCGGTGCTCGTTGGCGCAGGCGGGATCGCGAGGTGAGGGCGAGGACGACGACGAAGGACAGGACGAGGGCCGTCGCGGCGAGGGCTGCTGTGGCGAGGGGGAGCGCGTAGGCTGCAGCTCGACCGAGTACGGCGGCCATCGTCTGGCCGGGCTCAGTGGGAGCACAGCGATGCGACCTGTTGTTGTCGCGCCTCTTGGCCGAGGTTCGACCTCTCTCTCGCCTCACACCGCTCCCTCTCTCGACGCGCCACAGAGAGCGTGAGCCGGACAGCGCACGCGATGCAGGCCCTCCTGCTGTCGCCCGCGACGCGCTTCTCGCCCGACTCGTCGTCGTCGTCGCCCTCGTCCCCCGCGACCCCTCCGCCGCCCTCACTCGACTTCCTCCTCCTCACCGACTCGGCCCTCGGCCAGTTCGACACGCCCACCCGCGTCACACCGCAGCAGAGCACCCTCGCGCGCCGTGGCACCGCCGCCACCGCTGCCGAGCCTGACCCGCCGGCCACCCCGTCGTGGCTCCGACCCGAGTTGGATGAAGAGTGGTGCGAGCCCGACCATGCCAGCGGCGGCGACGAGGGGCAAGACGCCGTCCAGACCGACTGCTCGACCGCATCGACCACGTTTGCCCTCCCCTCGTCCGCCTCGGCCGGCTCGTCGACCGTCGTCCCGCGCGACCACACGCTCCGACCCGCCTCGCCTCCTCCACCACCCTCCTCCTCCTCCTCCACCTCTACGTCCGCCCTGTCGACCCCGACACGCCCACCCCTCCCCGATGCATCATACGCGTCCCTCCCCAAGACGCAGCCCCGCGTCCCTTCGAGCCTCCGCCACGCCTTCACCGCGTCCACCTCAACCACGGCGACCGCGACGCCGTCCCTCGCCGACCCGAACGGCACGCGCGACATGTCGGTCGTCGAGCACGAGTCGTGCAACGTCTCGGGCAGCGGCTCGGTCGTCCTGCGCGACACCGGGCACGACGACCGCGACGACGACGCGGCGGCCGTCAACGACGACTCGGTCGGCTCGGCGGGCACGTGCGTCGTCAACTCGATCGTCGAGCGCAGCGGCGGCGCGCAGGACGAGGGTCAGCTCGCGGCGGCCGTGCGCGCGCTCCGGGGCCCGAACGCCGGGCTGTTCTCGGCGCCTGACGCGGCGGCGGGAGGGGACGAGGCGCAGCGCGAGGGCGAGGGGAACGGGCGCGAGGAGGTGCCGCTGCCGCAGAGCAAGGTCCGCTTGTTGGGCCTGTTTGAGCCCCCGAGTCCGCCTGTACGAGGTGCGTCGCCGTGTTTTCCCTTGCCCTCGACTCGAGGCCGCGAGCACTAACTCTCGCACGCCCGACTCTACAGCACCGCCTCTCCCTCCCTCGACCCACGCCGCGCCGTCCCTCCCCCTCTTCACCTTCTCCCCTCCCGACCCCGTGCCGCGCACGAGCTGGAAATCGCTCCCGCTCCTCTCGCCCTCGCCCTCGCCGGCTCGCACCGACACCGGCACCGACACCGACGCGACGCCCGTCGCCGCCCGCTCGTCGGCGGCGCCCGGCCTCCTCGAGACGCCGCACGCCGCGCCCGGCAACGCGACGCCCGTGCACCGTGCGGCAGGCGGTGCGGGACCCGCGCCGGCGCCGACGGGCCCGGGCAGGCGGGACCGGTTCCTCAAGCGGTCGGCGCCCGCGTCCGCGCCTGCGCCGGCACACGAGCCTGAGCGTTCGCCCGAGCGTGAGCGCGTCGATTCGGCCGCCGAGCGCGAGCGCGAGCGCGAGCAGAGCGAGGCGCAAGAGAGCAGCGACGATGCACCATTCGTGCCGCCGCCGCACATGGACGCGACGACGACGAGCGAGTCGGACGACGCGTCTGAGGACGACGTGTCCGAGGAGGAGCGGGAGGAGGGCGGCAGCGGCGGCGGCGCCGGCGGGCACGGCGACTTTGGCGATGCGCTTGGGCTCGCTGGGCCTGGGCAGCCCGGCCTTGGGTGGAGCAGTGACGAGGACGAGGAGGACGGCGAGGGCCGCTCGTCGTTCGCGCGCGACGGCGACGACTCGCGGCCGAGCCGCCGCAGCAGCGCCCCGGCGCTCCCCTCACCTCCGGCCGCCCACTCGTCCATCCACCTCGGCCTTCCTCTCCCGCCCTCGCCGCGCGCCCTGCCCGCCTCGCCCGCGCGCATCCCCTTCCCCTCGCCCGCCCTCTCGTCCGTCGGCGGCAGCGCCGCCACGGCCCTCCCGCCGCCGCCCTCGCCCCTGCGCCTCTTCCAGCCGACCTACGACACCCTCACGCGCGCTCACCTCGCCCAGCTCGTCGACGACATCGACGACCTCGCCGACAACCGCGAGACGTACCTCCGCGAGGGCGCGCCGCCGCCTCGGCACCTGTCGCCTCGAGCCGGCGCCGGGACCGAGCACGACACGAGCGACGAGGGCTTCCTCGGCGACGAGGGCGAGAAGCGCTCGGCCAAGCGCATCCGGCTCAGCCCGCGCTCGGAGCGCGAGCGCGCCCGGTTCGGCGACCTGTCGATCCTGAGCGAGGAGCCGCCCGAGTTTGGGCCCGCCGACGGCCTCGACGACGGCGACGGCGAGAACGACTCGTCGCTCGCGCTGCGCGGCACGCCGTCGCGCCCGCGCCGCACTGGCAACCGCAGCCGGGCCGACAAGTCGACGTCGCCCGTCTCGGCGCGCCGCCGCTCGATGACGCCCGCCCTGCGCCGAGCGCGGGCCTACACGCCCTCGGCGTCGACCTCGGCGCTCCTGCGCTCGTCTGGCCTCAACCTGCCCTCGCTCCCGGCGCTCCTCCCCGCGCCCGACTCGGCGCGCTCGCGTGGCTCGTCGGCGTCCGGGGTGTCGAGCAGCGTCGAGTCGCCGAGGTCGCCTGGCGCGGCGAGGAGCCGCGAGGCGAGGATGGACGAGGCGAACGCGGTCATGGAGCGGATCAGGGCGAGGGTCGAGGAGAGGGAGGCGAGGAGGTTCGGCGGCGAGAGGTCCATCGAGCAGCAGGACGAGGTGCGTGCTCTTTCTCTCTCTTCTTCTCCTGTTCTGGTCCTCTCCCGAGCAGAGCGGTCCACTGACTGCCCTCGAATCGACAGCCCTCGCCCGTATCGACCGCTCGGCCGCGGTTCGCGCGCGTCCAGAGCACCACCCCTCCTTCCTCGCCACCTGCGCTCCGCCACCCCGTCCCAGGCCCCTCGACCTCGACGCCCGAGCCCGCCTACTTCGCCGCAGCCGCCTCGGCCTCGCTCCGCTCCGTCCTCTCCTCGCCCGCACCCCTCTCGACGTCCTCCTCCACCTTCGCTCCCGCGCACGCCCACCTCCCTCCCCTCCCCGGCTCGCCCTCGCTCGCGCTCGGCCTCCCGCCGAGCGTCCGCGCCGCCAAAGAGCGAGGCGGCAGCCTCGGCCGCCGCCACTTTGCGCGCACGCCGATCGGCGCGGGCGACAAGAAGCGGTCGAGCGAGGGCGGCGCCGGCCGAGACGGCTCAGGGCGGGCGCACGATCCCGGCAGCCTCCTCAAGCGCACGCAGGCGCGCAGGCTGTTCGGGACCGACGCAGACGACGTCGCCGCCGCGACGGCGAGTGCACCGGGCGTCGGCGGCGAGCACCAGCGAGAGCAGCCCGACCTCGGCGCCGCAACCGCTCGCAGCGCCGCCTCGTCGACCGATTCGTCCGCCGCATCGGTGCCGCCTGCATCCTCCTCTGCAGCTCGTCCTCGCGGCCACGGTCGCCACCCGTCCCTCACGACGCTCAACCCGGCGTCGCGCGACACGCAGCTCCTCCTCGCGAGCGCAGGCGCCTCGGCTCGCGAAAAGGGCCTCGTCTTTGACGCGGGGCAGGGCCGGTGGATCAAGACGCCGAGGAGGCTCGCGGCGCAGGTGGCTGTCGCCGAGGAGGAGGAGGAGGAGCCGGTCGCCGCCGTCGCCGCCGCCGCCGAGTCGGCTGCGGCGCCGGACGAGGACGACGAGGACCCGTTCCGCGACTTCAGCGAGCTGCGCTCGGCCGACGGGTCGGGCGTAGCCGCCGCGTCGGCCGCCCTCACGCCGCCTGTCGACGTCGACGCCGAAGCCTCCTGCGGCGCCGGCTCGATCGACCTGGACGCACTGCCGCGCGCAGGCGACGGCAGCGGCAGCTTGCCTCGCGGCGCGGTCGCCGACGACTCCCACGTCACGCGCCGCACGCGTTCGCGTTCGCGCACGAGTGCCGCCCTCGACCTCTCGGGCCTCGGCATCACCAAGGGCACGCCGCCGCTCCCGGCGTCGAGCACCGCCCCTGCCGCCGACGCCGCACCGCAGCCGTCCCCTGTCGGCGCGTGCTACTTCGAGCGCCCTCCCGCCGAGGAGCGACCTGTCGAGGAGGACGCCGCAGGGCCGCAGCTCGTGCTCGAGAGCGAGGACTCGGCGACGTGGGGTCGCGGCGGGGCGCAGGAGAAGCGGCGCGAGGCGGACAAGCGGTTCAAGGCCGACGTCGGCGCCGACGGTGCGGACGACGTGGAGGAGGAGAGCGAGGACGACCCGCTCGCCGAGCCGAGCATGCTCGGCTTGTACGCCGCCGCGCATGCCGCTCCGTGCCCGTCGCCCGAGGTCACGGCCGAGGTTACCGTCGAGCCGTCGCCAGCAGGACGCCCTGCTCCGGGCGCTAGCCCGGCCACACCGGCCGGTCGCTCGCGCGCCTCGCGTCGTTCCGCCGAGGCCGTCTCGGCGCCGCCATTTCCACGCTCGGCGCTCAAGCCGACTCGCGCCCAGTCCGCCCCGAGCGTCTTTGGCGATGCCGCCGCCGGCACCTCGACGCCGCTGCGGTCGACGTCCGAGCCGCCCCGCGTCCCGCGCAGCGTGTCCTTCTCGGACGGCAAAACGTCGGGCAAGATCGAGGGCCTCGTCGCCGTCGGATCGGGCCATGGTCTTGGTCCTGCGCTCGGCCCGCTCGGCAGCCGCCTCAAGTTCGAGCTCGGCCGTGCGAGCGCCGGCAGCGGGCCGGACGCTTCGAGCGCCGGAGCGGGCGAGGGCCCTGGGTCGCTCGAGTTCGACGAGGCCTTCGAGACGCAGAGCGAGGACGATGAGGAGGGTCAGGGGGACGTCGACCAGACGATCACGCAGGAGAACCTCGGGGCAGGCGAGGGCCGCTCGAGGCGGACGAGCGGCATTGTCGCAGCCCTCAGCAGCCTCGCTCGCGGTGCGCCTGGCTCTCCCTTTGTCGATCGTGTCCGTACAAGCTCTGACTCTTGCTCCGTTCGACGCAGGCCCCGACGACACGCCGGCGGCAACGCACTTCTCGCGCGACCTGCCTGGACCCTCCCTCGCGTCATCCACCTCCGCCTGTTCGCCCGCCTGGACCCGCTCGAGGGCCACCTCGCGCACCTTCACGCGCTCGCACTCGCAGTCCAACAACGCGACGTTCCTCACCGAGTGCTCGTTCGCCGTGTCGCACGACCGCCTCGTCCAGTACATCACCGACGTCGAGCCGTTCGAGCCCGACTGGGCCAGCCTGCGCAGCATCGACTTGAGCGGCAAGAAGGCCGACAGCGTCGTCCGCATGAAGGAGTTCCTGCCAAAGCTCGACGAGGTCAACCTGTACGTCCCGGCTCCGTCAAACTCTGTCGTCCGACCCGCACTGACCCTTGCCTCGACCGGCCCGCTCGGCAGGAACGACAACGAGCTGTCGTACCTGACGGGCATCCCCAAGACGCTGCGCACGCTCCTCGTCGCGTCCAACCGCCTCACGAGCCTGACGTCGTTCCAGCACCTCGCCAACCTCGAGCGCCTCGACTTGATCGACAACCACCTCGACTCGGTCCACCAGCTCTCGAGCCTGCGGCACCTGCGCGAGCTCAAGCTCGACGGTAACCAGCTCGACAGCCTCGACGGGCTTGGCGGCCTCGACTCGCTCGTCAAGTTGAGCCTTCGAGGCAACGCTCTCGTCGACGTCAACCTCGGGCAAACAACCTGGTGCGTGGCCTCTAACTCAGCCTCTTGCAGGAGAATGCGCCCTGACGGACAGTCCCGCAGGTCGCGCCTCGAGACCCTGCGGCTCTCGCGCAACAAGCTCGTCAACGTCGACGGCGCCGAGCGCCTCGTGTCGCTCACGACACTCGACCTCGGTGCGCCTTGATCTCCCTCGTTCCGTTCTCGAGCCTGCCCTGACACGCTCGCATCACAGACCACAACCACCTCGCGACGTTCGCGCCTCGTCGGCCGCTCTCCCGCCTTCGTGTCCTCCGGCTCGGCAACAACCCGCTCTCGGAGCTCGACGTTGCGTTCGCGCCCAAGCTGCGCACGCTTTACGTCGACTCGGCCCGGCTCGGCAACCTCGTCGGCACGGACCAGATGCGCAAGCTCGAGAACCTGAGCGTGCGGGACCAGTCCGGCGACGCCCTGTGCGTGCACTTTCGCAATGCCTCCTCGTCCCTGCTCGAGGTCGAGACTGACCTGCCCTCCTCCCGCCGCGACAGGACGGTCGCCATGGCCCACGTGCGCGACGTCAAGCGCCTCTACCTGTCGGGCAACCCCCTGCCGTCGTCGTTCCCGTCGGACAAGTTCTACAACCTCACGTACCTCGAGTTGGCCATGTGTCAGCTCGAGTCGCTCCCGGCCGACTTTGCCGCCGTCGTGCCCAACGTCCGGGTCCTCAACCTCGACTACAACTTCATCCAGGACATCTCGCCGCTGTCGGGCCTGGTGCGCCTCACCAAGTTGAGCCTGGTCGGCGCGCGCATCGCCAAGGCGCGCCCGCTCGCCGTGGTCCTCGCGACTTTGACCGAGCTCGAGTCGTTCGACATGCGGTTCGTCCCGCAGCTTCTCCTCTCGGGTCGGTCGACGCCGTGACTGACTCGCCGTCGTTCCTCCTCCACCAGGATGAACCCGTTCACGCTCGCCTTCTACCCTCCGCTCGTCCCGCCGTCCGGCTCCCTCCTTCCCTCGCACACCGAGCACCGCATCCTGCACCCCGACGACCTCCCCACGGCCCTCTCTGCTTCGACGCTTGCCGACCCGGCGACGCACAGCTCGGCGTGGCAGGCCCTCGACGTCAAGTTCCGCCGGGCGCTCCCCGACGCATGGTACCGGCGCCGCGCCGCCTATCGCGCCGTCGTCATGCAGGCGGCGCCCACCCTGGAGCGCCTCGACGGCGTCGACTGTGCCAAGGACCGGCCACGCCTGGCGAGGACGGTCGACAAGCTCGCGAGGCGGACGACAGCGGTCGTCGAGCGGCGGTGAGGGCGGGGAAGGAGCGGGACCTGGGCACTCTTTTCGTCTTTCTTTCGCTTATGCATGATCTGTGTTTGTCCTTGCCTGCCCCGCCTACGCTGCGACGATTTCTTCGGCAGTATCTTTGGGGTTGCGGCTTCGGCGAGAGACACAGAGAGAGCTTGACGTGGCGCGGCTGAGCCTTTTCCACGCGCACCTAATTCGTGCGCAGCGCAGTCCTCTCGGGCAAACGATGCGGCCTAGGAGCTCGAGTGCGAAAGCGCGGTTGCGACTTGGCTCTCCTCGCACGGACCTTGCACATCCTCTGCAGCGCTTGTCTCTGCGCAATTCGGCCTACGCTTTCGCCTTTGGTGCCCGTTTCGTGCCGTCTCTTCCTTGGCAGCTGGACGCAGGAGCAGGACAGGTAGCCGGGGACAACATCAGCGTCTTGCAACAATATTGTTGGCTGTATGAGCAGGTTGGGGATAGCGGTCACGAATGGGGATGTAACTCAGTGGCAGAGTGCCTGCTTCGCACTACTTGGCGCGCTTGCATGAAGTCCAGGGTTCAACTCCCTGCTTCTCCATTGCTTTTTTTGCTTACCGTACGACGCAAAGGAGAGACCAAGAAGATTTAGTGGGGAGTGGGGGGGAGCGTGGTACTCTTGATTTTGTATATGTCATGGGCTGGTGACCGTTCCCCTTTGGCCTGCGTCTTGCTTGGCCCACTTTGGGAGCAACAGCGCAGTCTGTACGAGAAGGACAAAGCCTGGTGGCCTCCAACCCCTCATGCCACCAGGTCCAACTACAAAATGGCTTGCCGCTGAGCTGACCCTGGCCAGTCCGTCCTGCGGACACAAGGAGGGACTGTAGTGGCATGAAAGCCCGGCCCCCTTAGGCTGGACTACAATTTGGCCCGTCACAAAACCTCCTCTGACAGGCCTGTCCAGTGGGGGCAAGATGCCTTACCTGGTGAAGCTGAGGGTTGTAGAGTCACAGGGCAGGTCAGTTGTGGTTGCCTCGGAAGTGCGGGGCCTTAGGCCGGCTTAGGATTTGGGTTGCGTTGAGATCTACCGCCAGAGGCTTGTCCAGTTGGTGAAAGGTGCTTGACAAGGTGAATGATAGGGCGGGAGAGTTTCAGGGCAGGTTGGTCACAAGATCCAGGTGTGGTGGCCTCGGAAGTGCAGGGCCTTAGGCCGGCTTAGGATTTAGGTTGCGTTGAGATCTACCGCCAGAGGCTTGTCCAGTTGGTGAAAGGTGCTTGACAAGGTGAATGATAGGGCGGGAGAATTTCAGGGCAGGTTGGTTACAAGATCCAGGTGTGGTGGCCTTGGAAATGCGGGGCCTTAGGCCGGCTTAGGATTTGGGTTGCGTTGAGATCTACCGCCAGAGGCTTGTCCAGTTGGTGAAAGGTGCTTGACAAGGTGAATGATAGGGCGGGAGAGTTTCAGGGCAGGTTGGTTACAAGATCCAGGTGTGGTGGCCTCGGAAGTGCGGGGCCTTAGGCCGGCTTAGGATTTGGGTTGCGTTGAGATCTACCACCAGAGGCTTGTCCAGTTGGTGAAACGTGCTTGACAAGGTGAATGATAGGGCGGGAGAGTAATCCGACCGCGTCACGGTCGGCTGGAAGGAAAAAGAAGGTGCAGGCTCAGGGGGATGGTCCTGCTGAGCATGCTACTGATGCAATATTGCAAATCTGGCTCCAGTACCATCAAGGTATACCACTAAATGGTCCTTGTGCTGAGCATCAGGTTGGGAGGGCTGTTCCTCATGGAGCTGCCCGCGCAAACGGTTTGGGTCCGAAACCGTCAGGCTCGCCAGGAACAGGTTGGCCTCTGCAGAAGTGGGCCACAAAGTCCGTTCAACTCCTAACCTAGCTAACCATTTAGAGCGCGTCTTACTCTATTCTGCCCTGCAGGGGCAGCCCAATCCGACCGCGTCACGGCCGGCTGGAAGGAAAAAGAAGGTGCAGGCCCAGGGGGATGGTCCCGCTGAGCATGCTACTGATGCAATATCGCAAATCTGGCTCCATTACCATCAAGGTATACCACTAAATGGTGCTTGTGCTGAGCATCAGGTTGGGAGGGCTGTTCCTCATGGAGCTGCGCGCGCAAACGGTTTGGGTCCGAAACCGCCAGGCTCGCCAGGAACAGGTTGGCCTCTGCAGAACTGGGCCACAAAGTCCGTTCAACTTCTAACCTAGCTAACCATTTAGAGCGCATCTTACTCTATTCTGCCCTGCAGGGGCAGCCCAATCCGACCGCGTCACGGCCGGCTGGAAGGAAAAAGAAGGTGCAGGCTCAGGGGGATGGTCTCTCCTCCCCCTCCACACCGTCCACCACCTTCCTCCCCTTGGGCAGCGGGTAGCTGACCGGTCAACATGGGTCTGTAGAAGGCCTCAGGCGACTTGAAAATGGAATCTCTCTCTCTCTCTCTCCCGCTGAGCATGCTACTGATGCAATATCGCAAATCTGGCTCCATTACCATCAAGGTATACCACTAAATGGTGCTTGTGCTGAGCATCAGGTTGGGAGGGCTGTTCCTCATGGAGCTGCGCGCGCAAACGGATTGGGTCCGGAACGGTCAAGCTTGCCAGGAACAGGTTGGCCTCTGCAGAACTGGGCCACAAAGTCCGTTCAACTTCTAACCTAGCTAACCATTTAGAGCGCATCTTACTCTATTCTGCCCTGCAGGGGCAGCCCAATCCGACCGCGTCACGGCCGGCTGGAAGGAAAAAGAATGTGCACGCCCAGGGGGATGGTCCCGCTGAGCATGCTACTGATGCAATATCGCAATCTGGCTCCATTACCATCAAGGTATACCACTAAATGGTCCTTGTGCTGA